TTGTGATTTGAACAGGACAATCCTGGATTGCTTCCTGTTCTCAGTGGGAAACAATCCTTCCCTACCTGTCTCCTCTGGAGTACCAGACTCGGACCTCATGTCCCTGAGGTCCTGCAGTAGATTCTCCCGGCTCATGCAGAGTCCAAGGCCGGGAAGAGAGTGCTCTTCAGCTGCCTGCACAAGTTCTTGGGTGTCAACCAGTCGCTTTGTATCATTGCAAAACCCAAATGTGGTGCTGGGCTGCTCTGTTTAGGGAGACAGATATGGGATATCTGTAACATAAAGTCCGCACAGAATATACTTTAAAATTCACAGTTTCTGTCCATGTATAAATAGTTTTGCTTTTATGCCTTGATAATTTATATTAATTTATAAATACTGGGGATCAAATCTTTAATAAGCTGATACTAACATAGAGTTTGGTCCAGAACATCTGCAGTCCCTTTCCATGATCCACACACATTTGGGCTAATAATTACTTTCTTTCAAAAGTAACTAACAACTTCAAGTCTAAGTAAAATCAACACTTTAAAAATATATATTTCATTAGTATTAGGTTACTCCTTGTTCCTAAACATGGAAGAATGTTTCCAAAACTCAGAAAAGTTTATTTCTTTAATTTTTTTGCCATCCATAAGTCAATGTTTGGGGTTGTTATCTCAATTTTTTTAAGAAATTAGGTCTCTCTGCCATTTTTCCAGGAAACAAGCTTCCATATTAGACAAGAAAAGAAAAGAAAAGAAAAGAAAAGAAAAGCCCTTCGCTCTCTTGTTTGGTCGGAGCTAGCTTACCACTTCGCCTGTGCTGTGGCTCCCTCTGCTGGTGATTACCGGAACCTACAGCTAACAGGACGTCCTCCGGTGATACGGCCACGAACCGTTTCCACACGTCGTGAGTGTAAAACTCCACGGTGTGGGCATTAGCAATATTAAGAGTTATAGATAGAAACCGAGTGACTTCATCTATCTGTTGCTGAATTTCTGTGAGGCTGCATGAGGAGGATTTCATGTTAATTAATAAAACGAAGAGGAGCTGGGCAAGCACGCAAACGTCCCACTTCTGGTGTACGCCTAGACATTGGCAGTAGAAAAAACGGTTCGATGAATTTACTGATCTGCTTTTTATTTTTCAATAATATAAGATTTACATACATACAAGGCGAGTTTACACAGTGTAACAGGGCGTTTACACTTCATCAAAAACCAACATACTTGGAAGTCCGATAAGAAAAAAACTCACGTTGTTATTGATAAGTTGTTCAAAAACTATAAAAAAAAAAATTAACTGAAGCCTCCTTTTATACCTGTTCACTACAGCATGAATTTATAACAAGGAATTTCAACAAGGAACATTTTGAAATAGGGCCTTCTGCAATCGATTTATCAAGTCTTGTCTTGTTCACGTCATCACACAGCGTCTGTAACGAAACGGCATGCTAGCTGAAGTCGACGAGCAGGTTGTAAACATTTGAGTTTTCCCGAAGAGACTGAACACACATGGCACCAACAGATCAAAAAACGAAGAATGAGAAGTTTGCAGGGAAAGAGGGCGACTTGGCGAAAACAAAAAGTGGCGCGAAGGGTGTCAAAAAGAAAAGAAAATGGATCTCCGATCAGAAATTATTCAAAGGCAGCGTAAAAGAAGGTACAATAAGGCTGAACGTACACGTAAATACTACACAGCCTCTATCTTTAAATAACATAGGAACCGTGAGAAATCAATTCATATTAGGTTTCAGAACTTAATCCGTGTTGGGTTAATTCAAACGACTGTCAACACAAGAGCATGAGCATAGTTACTAGATAAGTAATGACACTGAATCGGATTTTTTTTAATGGTTTGATTTGCCTGTATTTAAAATCTCTGTCTTAACTCTTCAGGTCAAGGATTTGCTTTCAACAGGAAGCAGAAAGTCAAACATGAATACAACAAACTGCTGCGAAAGGAAAAGAAGAAGAACCCAGGGTCCAAAAACCTGTACAAAGAAGAGTATCCAGAACACCTCAGGCATCTGTACGAGGCTGAGGCAGAGAAACTGAAGAAAGAAGCCTGGACAAACAGAGTGAACAGGAGTAAGCTGAGGATGAAAGGGCAGGCGAAAGAGATGGGGGAAGGTGATGGAGAGGAAGAGGATGATGATGATGATGATGAGGCACAGCAGACCGAGGCAGCTGGTGAAGAAGAAGTTAGTGGGGGATCTGAGGTGAAAGAGTCAGCGTCCGGGAACCAAGCTGAGCCAACGTCAGCTTCACAGAGCGAA